CAACACTCTAATTTGGAAATTCTTGTAAAATCTGACAATTGTCGGATTTTAATGAAACTGCCAGGATTATATTCACAAAAGAATGAAATAATTTTGAAATGTTTCTTTTTTAGAAAATCTTTGTGAAAATTTTTTTCTTACATCTATCAACCCCCACACTTATTTAATTTTATGAAATATCGAAAAATTATTTTTTTTGTAACGCTTTATTAGTCATAAGAATATGTCCTCGGATAATTTAAATCATTAACCCCCAGTTACAGAAAATCTGCTCTGAATCTTAAAATAAGAAATGCAATAAAACTAAGACATTATTTAACTACAAATGCTTTGAATTGCTTTTATGAATAAAATATGTTATGGACGCTACTGTCTTAAGAAAAAAAAATACAATTGCTTTCATATTTTTAACATGTTAATTAGAATAATTTATAAACTTTTAAATCTTCTAAAATTCTGTATTAATTTGTGGCGGTAAAGTGATATTATTATTATATTAAGACTGTATTTACTAATAATAAATGGAAAAGCTCACTACAATTCAAAGATCCCCAATATTTTTAAAATAATTTTGAATTTGTTTTATGTGTTTATAAACATGTCGATTTTCGTAAATACGAATGTTCAAACCTCACATTATGAGAAAATAAGAGCTGTAATTATAGTAATTTTAAAAATTATTGGTTATTTTCAAACATTTCAACAAGCATTTTCTTAAGTTAGACTATACAGCCAAAGTACCTAAATTTCAATAAAATATTAGATTGCTTAGAATATTTTCTTAAACTGGGTAGTTAATATATATATATATAAGTAGCATTCGCGTTATTTTCAAGAAATTGTTACAATTATGTCCCTCTTTAAAAAACCTCAAACATAAGTCTGTCGAGAGAGTTGTCAATTCCTCATAACACCCACGCCGTATTAAAAATTCTTTTCTCCGATATTTTAAACTAAAAATAATATTCAGATTAATTAATCTTTGAATAAGTTAATCTTATTCAAAGGTTTCAGGAAAGTATATTTTATTATTGAAAGATTTTTAATAAAGAGAATTACGTTGTGTTGATAGATTTGTCAATATGGCGTTTTTGCTGATAATAAAAACTTCATTCCAATCAATTTAAATTCAGTTTGAAATAGAGCAAAGTATTTTGCTGATTAGATATATTAAAATTAATCTTTTAGCTTGAAATTAAAACTTTTCTATTTTTTTAACTTTACGTGTCCCTTTCTTTGGAGGTACCTAATGTTATATAGATAAACGTTTATCGGTCTACGCATTCGAGACATCCTGGTAAAATTCGTTCGTTGGCATGGATCGAACCACTGTCCCCCGACTTGCAGGGTTTCTCTCAGACTATTTTCTCGAAAGTATTATATAAGCTCAGTTTCGGATCCGAAACGTAAAACAAAGAAATTCTTTTTTTTAAGAATTAACGGATTTATTTTTAATCCGACGTTTTTATTTCTTCAAACGTTATGAAGCTTTCGAGAAAATAATCTGAATGAAGAGGATGTTAATGCCTTAAAAAGGGAAAATGGGGCCTTGCTTAATTGTAACGTTGTCCGTGGACATAATTTCATAAAAGAATACGTTTATGTTGTACCATTATCTTAGGAATATTTGCATTCCTTTCAAATAGAATAACAAATAGTCTTCTTGTTGAAGTACTATAATTCATTTTTATATATTAATGGTCTTCGCTTGTATTTTTAAACTGATAAGTCTATTTGCATTTTGGTATGGCATCACATGTGTAGAATCGGGCGCAGTTTTGGTTCTTGACATCGATACCACTTTTCATCGATACATCTGATACTATGTTTAAAATTAAAAATAGAAATTCATGTGCTGAAAATGTTTCTTATTTTCTTCCATCTTCAATAAACGAAAATGCGCCAACTTTCACAATTTTCTAATATAACTTCTCTTATGACAGATGTCAAAATAAAATCTAAACCGATCGTTTTTAATGAGGTTAATTAAACTAAACACGTCTAACGACATCGAATGACAACTAAAGATGTTTTTCTACAATGTCAAAAGGTTTCAGAAATAGTAAGTTTTGCAATAAAATATTTGTTTCTATATTTATTTGTGTAAATTTGTCGAGTTGTAGTTGACCGTATTTTACTGAATTTAACAAACTCCGGATCCCTTGCGGACAGCGAGTCGTTCGTTTGCGAGTCAAAGTGTTCATTGTTTGCAATATAAATAATTCTGGTTATAAATTAGGACATTTGTTAGAACTGCTTATATTAAAAACTTCAAAATTTGACCAAAATATTTTGTTTGGAAATTATCTTTCATTTCATTTTTTCTTCTTGAGTTTCTCAAACTAAAATACAACACCTGCTTTCTTTCGAGATAATTGACAACGAACTAGAAATTTAATCTAAAGCGAAATTAGTCTACAAATTGCAAATACAAACAAAAGACGGCTTTTATTGTTGTATGATTTCAAATTTCACTAATACTGTAAATATTTATTAAATAAATATAAATTCTAACCAGTAAAAAAATTCTGTTATTTCCTATTCGCAACTATAAAAGCTGCAAACAGAACGCTTCACACTTCTAATACGAGGCATTGGGCACCTCGACGTGGTGTAATCGTTAGAAAGCTTGTCTTGCTAGATCAATTATGACTGAGTAGTGAGTTCGATCCTCACTGGGTGCCCCATACTTTCGGCTTTGTGCCACATCTGAGCTACACTTGGAAAATCACTATATTGAGACATTTGAGAGCAAGACAACATACAAAAAATATCTTAGGTATGGAACTCTCTTATCGATGAGGTGTGGATGATAATTTTTTCCACAAATTTCCTATAATGAAAGCAAGATTTTTACGTTTTCATTTATTTTGCAGCACTACAAAATATAAAACACGATTATTTCATTCTTACGAGATCTCGGAGTTGGGCAGGGAGCTCTATCTTTGGCATAGACACAAAAACTGGCCGTCTTAGCAAACAGGGAGGTGGTGTCCCAGGAAGAGATCTCTAACCAAGAATTCGAAGTGGGTAGCGATAAGTCGGTTTCAGAAGATATCAAAGAGGCTTTTTGGGAGCTTTTTTTGGAGACATAAGTTTTCGGGACTTGATAATTCGACAGCATTTACTTCATATAGTTCATACTAGTTGACACTGACTACCATAAAATAGAACTACTGACTGCTGGGATATAAGAGTACATCTATCTATCTATCTATCTATCTATCTATCTATCTGATGTGAGGGAATAACCTGCCACCCCCATGAGTGGTGGCACTATAGGTTGTAACCACCTATAAGTATCCGTGAGGACAGCGGACAGGAGAGTCGAGCTGGGATCTTTCCCAGCTGCGCTAGTCAAACTCTCTGCCTTCGGGCAGAGAGGAACCCGGATGAGGCTATGCCGAAGGGCAGAGTTTCGTCCGGGGAGGTAGACAGACCCGATCCCGTTTATGCGGGGTCTACGGGGATTTTTTGGCCCGAGACTCCGGGCTCGGGAACCCCACATTAAATTCGGCCTTGTGCCACATGTGACTGCGTGGGGTAGTTACTAAATACCGTCGAGCTGGGATCTGCGAGAACTAGCAGCCTTCCGATAGCAGCACGCACACAACTGTACTGACTTGCGACGACCGTGAACTATTACTTCTTTGCTTGGTGTACTGCTTTCTACAATAAACCTGTTACTATTTATCCACCGTGTTTGTCCATTCCATATTCCGATTAGCACGGAATATAACACTAACTAACTAACTAACTAACTAACTAACTAACTAACTAACTAACTAACTAACTAACTAACTAACTAACTAACTAACTAACTAACTAAACCCGTTGGTAGGACGTTTGCCTCATATCATAACTGTCCGGGTTTCAATTCTCGGTAGTGGATACGCACTGCTGATGAGTCCCAAATATAGAACGAAAAGGCCGTCCAGTGCTTTCTGCATTCTGTTCAGGTTTCTTCTAGACACGATGAATTACTTAATTATGATTATCCCAAATCCTCCTAATAATTTCTTCATATATATATATATATATATATATATATATATATATATATATATATATATATATATAAGTGATAGAAAATATATATATATATATATATATATATATATATATATATGATTAATGTGAGTAAAATTTGTCAGTTAGCTGATTGAGGTTACCTTCCGCATCCCGACTCCAGAGTTTCGTAGACGGTCCTGTTCGTCCACTCTTCAGGAGGTACAGCAATTTACTGCTTATATTTTCCCGATTTTTCTTTTTATGCACATTTAATACTGGTATAAGATATGAAATATACATATCCTTATTTATATGTAAAACTAAACAGACAGATAGATATAAAGTGATAGAAAATAATAGAGGAGAATGTACTGATAATCGTAGTCTGGCGTAAGGCTACAGGCATTTAAAACCCATGAGACTTGTTAATTATTAACAATATAACTTTTTGTACAATCAGAGTACAGTAAGCACTTATATGTATAACTAGCTTTGAAAAAAAGAAGCCTCCATCAACTATAATAGTGGCGAGAGACAAAACTCTGTTCAAGGTGACTGCCAATGGCACACTTTACAGCCGCTACAAATTGTATCATTTTGTTTCCACTACGGACTCTCTCTTTTTTTTCTCTCACTCGCATACACACAGGCACACACAGAGATACACATACACACAGACGTGTATTTTCACTTTTGTGTATTTACTTCCATCATGACAATTATTGAACCAATTTTCAAAGTTCATGCACTAGTATTTTTGATCAAGTTCCCTGAATAGTCTGAAGCAAGATACTCATCAAACTGAAGCAATACACACACACATATATATATATATATATATATATATATATATATATAGATAGATAGATAGATAGATAGATATGGACAGAATCAGATAGATAGATAGATAGATAGATAGATAGATAGATAGATAGATAGATAGATATGAGCAATATTAGATAGAAAGATAGAGAGAGATATGGACAGAATCAGATAGATAGATAGATAGAAAGATAGAGAGAGATATGGACAGAATCAGATAGATAGATAGATAGATAGATAGATAGATAGATAGATAGATAATGAAATTGACCCTGTTAATGAAAATCAGTAGTTTTTTTTTTTATTTTAAAACAATCTGTGCATAAATGTGTAGTAATCATATGTGATAATAAAAATAGTTCGCATGTAAAAATGTCAGAGATATGTGAAAAAGTCATATAAAAATGCGAATTAACTTCAGCATGGCCCACAAATAACTTGCCAAGATCAAATGTAAAATTCGATTAAAGATTTATGTGAACAAAACACTAAGAAGAAAAAGAGTCTTCGACAATTTCAAAAATCATCCAATTTTTTTTCCCCAAAAAATGATGAATATGAGAGTTTGCAACAGATCGTAGTCAATCAACACAATATTTCCAGTCCATCTACGCAAATCTACACCAAGTGAATCTTTGATCTCGAGAGCGGCTAGAGATCAAAATACTCACCGACTACACAGTCTCTTCTCAAAACCAAAACGCTTCTACTTCAATTTCTCCAGCAAACTGTAAGTAATAGCATTTACTAAAATTTATAAACTTTCTCAGACATTTGTTATCAAATAATGTTTACTATGAAAAGATAAATCCACCAAAAAACTTACAAACGCATTTACATACAAAAGCATTTGTAGTTTTAAATTTTACTACGATTTTGAAAGTTTATTAATCTAGTAATTGTAATTAGGACTAATTGTTCTATTAATTGCTACTATGAATAATTACTAACGCTGCCATAAAATGGTGACCAGTGAAAGATAAATAATGAATACAATTTTTCTTGAAAGATGTTTTGTTTCAGTCATATTAGAAAAAGAAAGGATAAAAGGAAAGAAAAAGAAAAGAAAAAAAACTAGTTATGGCGAGAGCAGGAAATGACTGGTTTGCTATAAAAGAAGAAGTAACATTTTACTTCAGAGGTAATGGATGCTTCAACAAAGTTTTCCTCCGTTAATGAAGAATTACTTGCTGAAGTTGTAACAAAAATATCCCTTCTTCGATCCAAGATTCTCAAAAGTCATCGAAATAGCGATACAGTAACGGTTGGGTTTACAACTTTGCGTCTGTGTGGAAAAAGAATGTTGAGTGGAAAATAACCCTTCCCTGACAAGACCATGCAAACGATCTTGAACTCCATCATGATTGGAAGGTGAGGATTAAGCAACTCCAGTTCAGATATGGCAACAATAATCGATTTTTGGTCAACCCTGACTCTTGTAAAGATACAAAATATCAGATGTACTTCCTAAAACGATATATTGAGCCGACCAATATTCCAAGTATCTTTAGCAATGGACTGTATATATGGCGGAACCAACTAAGGGAGATAACCGCACGGGGTTATCGACCATGATCGGCGAGTTTGGGAGGACGACAACAATGGTGGACACATAAACACATTTATTCAATCCTCTCCCATTTGCTGGTTACATGTCGTTATTACCAAAAATAAAGGTTTAAGTAATAACAATATCTGATCTTCAACTTGATTACTTCATTATAACAGCAGTTATAACAAATTGAATGTGGACACCGTATCCTGACTTCGAGTGGGGGGGGGACCATGAGCCACTTTCGCTAGCACTGATTACAATATCTGGTCATATATGTGTTCTTATTGGTTATTGCTGTCAATCTCTTATTGTGCTAAATAAGATTTGCTGCAAACCTACAGCGGTGTCCCTCCCAGTTTCCCACCGACCGGACAATGACGTCACCACGTGTATATGTAGTTGTGTTATGGCGGAGCCAACTAAGGGAGATAACCGCACGGAGTTATCGGCCTTGACCAGGGAGTTTGACCTGGGGAGGACAAAAACAATGGTGGACACACGTGCAAAATACGGCTCTGGTCAATCTTCTCCCATCCGCTGGTTACATGTCGGTATTACCAAAAATAAAGGTTTAAATAATAGCAATATCAGATCTTCAACTTGTTTATTTCGTTATAACAGCAGTTATAACAATTGTGTATATGAATTCCATTTGAGGTCTGGAGTGAACTTGAGTCCCAGGAAACGTTTAAGGTATTGAGCCACTGAGAGCTGAACAGTTCTTCGTGACAAGAGAAACTCAAGGTCTGACTGGTGGTCACTAAACGATATAGCTCTGTTTTTTTAAGTATTGTGAGTAACAAACCAGTTATTTTCCCCCATTGATCTCCTGTAGTTAGGTCAGAGGTCACCTGAAAGGTTCCGATCAGCTTGATTTTTGTGGTGGTGCTGGTTGGGGGATGCATTCGTAAACAGTGGTTTTCAATCTGGTGGTCAATCTGTACAGATCACTAGTATTCTGAGAATGTTCCTAGGCATGTCGTTAATAAAATGTAGAAAGAGAGGCAGACTGAGAAAAGGGATTTGACGAACAATTTCATTGATCTCTTTTCTTTACTACAAGACCCTCTGAACACCTATTCAATTATATGCCCGCTATCAGATGAACTAATGTATTTATTGAATAGAAATTCAATAGTCTTTGCTGTAAAACGAAAAAATCATCTTGTTACACTCAATATGATCAAAATATAATGCCTGATTAAACGTAATTTTAAAAAATAATAGTCAGAATTGTACATTTTATCCGGAAATCTTAAAATCTCCATGACAAATATTTGTCAAGTTACCTTTATTTTTTCTAAAAATCTCCATGACAAATATTTGTCAAGTTACCTTTATTTTTTCTAAAAATCTCCATGACAAATATTTGTCAAGTTACCTTTATTTTTTATAAAAATCTCCATGACAAATATTTGTCAAGTTACCTTTATTTTTTCTACCCATAATTTTTCTTTCAAAATGGCTACCCCTCCGAAAACACGTAGGAAGCAATGAGCCATCTTATAATTTATGTATTGGAAAGAGAATACCACAGACGTTCACAAAAGCTTAATGAATGTTTATGGAATTACTGTATTTGATGTAAACAGTGTAAGGAGATAATTCGCTCGAGTTAATGGCAATGCTCAAGAGAAAATCGAAAGTGATCTTAGTGACTGGCCACATAGTGGCAGGTCCGCTGATATTGTGAATAAGAACAAGCCCAAATAGATGCTTTTATTACAACTGAAAAAAGAATCTATTACAGAACGTGTGAAAGCCTTTCAGGTGAATGGTGTCAGTGCTTGCTAATTAGTGCAATCTCTTGGCTGTTGAAGGATTTGTCAAATTTTGTTCCCATAATGTTCAGAGACTTCATGAAAGAACAGAGGCTGATTGCTGCTAAAAGCTTCTACAATGGCAGAGAACGAACAGTACCTTCCAAAATGGAAGTGTCACAGATTATGAAACCTGGACTCCCAACTATGAATCAGGGAGGAAAAGAAGGTCAATGGAGTGATCTTCACTTCTAAAATTGAATCGAAAAGATTCTTCCATCTTGTTTCAAAGTCTAACGGTTATTATAGATACTCCAGTAATTACAGGTGCTCTGAACAGTATTGCAGAAACTGATAGATATCCTATACCAATTATCAATTCATTTACCTGTAAACTTACCAACAAAAGATGCTTTTCATAAATAGACTTAAGTTATCACCAGATAAAATTACGTGGTGATGTGGCTAATACAGCAGTAACTACACTAATTTCCAAATGTTTGAATATAATTATATAAGTTTCGGATTAAAAATTACGATGGTAACATTTTAATGCTTTATAGACAAAATGTTTGTTAATGAGGAATGTGTATTTGAGCGTTTAGCACTTAGAAATGATTTAAAAAGTTTAGAGGAAATGATTTTTAAAATTTCTAAGATATGACTTGAACAGTTTTAATTTAATTTATTTGAAAATATTATGTACAGAAGGACTTTTACACTCTGATAAAAAAGGTTATGTAAATTTTTAGATATAATATTTTTTATCAAATCAAAATTGTATTTCCTCTATCTGATAATATAAGATTATTTCCAAACGCGTTTCGAATTAGCTGATAATGACAAAGGCTTCTTTAATAATATTGTAGAACAATGTCGACTGCTTAAGCAGAGCCCTAATCTAAAGTCTCCATCTATTGGTCACTAACAGACATTGGTAGGTTGTTCATGTAGCATTTCACCAAATGACACCCAGACCTATCTGTTTCTTTTCCAAACAGTTGACACAAAGTCAGACGAAATATTCTAATTTCGACAGAGAATTTCTTCCAATCTATTTAGAAATATTTCCCTTTCGCCAATTAGAAATTGCCACGAGGTTTTTCAAACGTACCCTAATCCAATGTGCGTCACTTTTCATAGTTTAAACCCATGACAATCAGATTACCAGCAACGACAACTGTCAATCAGTCAGTTATGTGTCATGCATGATGCATGGGTAGGCGATCATGAATCTTTCAATACATGACTGACGAGGCAGATTTTTTCCGTAGTAGGTTGCCATTTCTTTTAGCGTTAGATCATTTGCCATCCAAGGCTCTAGAACCCGGTCTCTCCTATTATTTACCCATAGCTTGGGGGGGGGGAGAAAAAGAGGATTCGTACCTTTCCTAAGGGTATTAGCACGTAAGTGAATGTAATAGATTCGGGTGGAATTCGAACTCGGCTCTCTGATTCCTTAATCCACGCCGCTCCACCGTACCTTCTAACTCTCAATACTTACTAAGTATGCTTCCAGAAAATCACGTATTAAAGACAGAAAATAGGAACTGATCGTAAGTCGTGATGAACACTTTGATCCTCGACACTATTGTCGGTGGTATAGTAATTGTGTTCAAACCTTGGGCTGGATAGTCAGACTCAAGGCAGACAGGGTAAGTAATAACTGAACTAGAAAGGAATACTAAAAAGAACAATATTAGATTTCTCTAGATATGAATAGCAGAAAGAGAAGAATCTCTGCCGTTGATTTAATAAAGGGTTCAGATCGAAATTCCCTGAAAGTTACTCGGATCGAAAGACACGCGAAGAAAGCCGGAAAGCACAACGGCCGAAACGTTGGGGTAGCAACAACAAAAATGAGGAGGTTAGATTTATGAAAAAAGACATCATAAAATGGTTGGTTGTATAATAAAGTAATGAATGTAAGAAAAAAAAACTGAAGTAATTTTGCACTCCGCTCATTTGCCACTATTTTATCCTCTTGTGTCACATGTGGGTGAGAAATTTGGGTCAGAATCCGCTGTAGTTTGTTCCGTAGATGTCCAAAAGACAATAGGATTTATGGCCTTGGATTGGAAAAACAAACATAGGAGTAGATAGATAGATAGATAGATATATAGATAGATAGATAGATAGATAGATAGATAGATAGATAGAAACAGACCAACATAGATCGAGAGAGATTGCGAACAGGCTGAGATAGATAGATAGATAGATAGATAGATAGATAGATAGATAGATAGATAGATAGATTAACAGATTAAGATAGATAGATAGATAGATAGATAGATAGATAGATAGATAGATAGATTAACAGAATAAGATAGATAGATAGATAGATAGATAGATAGATAGATAGATAGATAGAAACAGACCAACATAGATCGAGAGAGATTGCGAACAGGCTGAGATAGATAGATAGATAGATAGATTAACAGAATAAGATAGATAGATAGATAGATAGATAGATAGATAGATAGATAGATAGAAATAGACCAACAAGAGACCAACATAGAACGAGGCTGAGATAGATGATAGAACAGGATGAGATAGATAGATAGATAGATAGATTAACAGAATAAGATAGATAGATAGATAGATTAACAGAATAAGATAGATAGATAGATAGATAGATAGATAGATAGATAGATAGAAACAGACCAACATAGATCGAGAGAGATTGCGAACAGGCTGAGATAGATAGATAGATAGATAGATAGATAGATAGATAGATAGATAGATTAACAGAATAAGATAACAGAATAAGATAGATAGATAGATAGATAGATAGATAGATAGATAGATAGATAGATAGATTAACAGAATAAGATAGATAGATAGATAGATAGATAGATAGATAGATAGATAGATAGATAGGAACAGACCGAGATAGATCGAGAGAGATTGCGAACAAGCTGAGATAGATAGATCTGTAATGTACGAAATCTGATGGTGACAGATTGAATGATGTTTTCATTATTCTAATCTGCTTAAACGATAACAAATCATACTGTCGGGTCATCTCATAAGTAATGCCTGAAATCCCATCTCGATAGATTATAGATGATATGTTCACTATTTTAAAATGCCGAAATGATAACCCGCTCTTGCTATAACAGGCTCGTTCAGTTTTAAACGAGTAAGTTACGTCATCACAGGACGATTCAATTTAATTATTAACTTGACTTTCCTAAAGACTGACGCCTCTGTGGAGTCCAAAAGACGTAAGAAAAGGCCGAAGTACGCTACAAAATTAATTGCTTTATGATATAGATCATTTAAACGAAAAAAAAAAACTGCTGAATGGTGAATTCAGTTACAGGGGTGTTTACCAAACAAGTCGTCATGTTGACTTTCACGATGAGCTGCTTTTATCGGAATTCTGTAGATATTCTGCTATTACAGTTAATAGAATTTGTTCCAAAACTCAAACCATTCAACGATTTGCTACTATGTTCAACTATCTTGATAAATGTTTAAATTTGAAAAATATGTCTGCGGTTGTTTGACAGAAGCCAACCGTAAAATAAGAGGGAGCATACCGCCATGTTTGAATAGATTCATAACCGGTAATGAAATAAAGAAAGCTATTTTTGAATGATATAAGGCGACGTGTTGGTGTATTCTACTTTAAGCTGTAAGTCGTCAATATCACGATTACAGCAGACATCTATTATCAGTAGTTAGAGCATTAAAACACTGTTTTGATGGAAATGAGTCCAAGTTTGATTCATCTCAAACAAAGCGGAGCAACTGCGAAGATTGATGACCTCGAATAAGAAAAATTCTACACCCACCTTATTCTTCAAATCTTATACAGCAATTCTTCAAATCTTATACAGCAATTCTTCAAATCTTATACAGCTATTCTTCAAATCTTATACCACCTATTCTGAACATTCTTTTAATGAACAGCTTGAAATAATTCTCTATTATTTTTTTTTTTCAAATCAAAAAACCTTTACCAGAACAGTTAATTAAACTTGTGAATCATCTGAAAGTTGTTATTGATAATGATGAAAATTATAGTAATGAATAAGATCCAGGGATGGATATGCAATGCAATTGGCCCTGATCTGGCATCTCGTCTGCAGTCGCTCTCTCACAAACATGCCGTCTGTGTTTTTTACAAATACTTTCATGGTAACTGCTCCGTTGAGCTGCTTTCGCTGCTTCCCAGACTTCATGAATTTAAGCGTTCTACTAGGCTGGCATCTCGCTCTCACCCTTTCACTGTCGAAACTGTTAAGTGTAGCCATCTCTTCTACTTCAATAGCTTCATGTCTCGCACCTCTCACCTGTGGAACTCCCTCCCTTATTCCTGTTTCCCTGATAGCTATAATCCCCAATTATTCAAATTGTATGTCAATCGACGTCTCCAGATGCCCTGATCTATCCCCTAACCGTCTCTTCATCCTTTCCTCTATCACTCCTTTTTGTTCTCGCTCCAACTCTCTGTAACTCCTTGCGTGCTAATGGCTTCCAGCTTTGCTTGGGGTGAAACGCTTAAAAAAAAATTGCATTTAAAAATGAATTTTCTTTGCGTTTTTTCATACAATCTTGACGACGAATACAAAAAGAGGCGAGCACGTCAACTTGTATGGAAAGAAATTAAAATAGCAGTGCGGACATAGGAAGCAACACTGCATGTTGAATTTCACTACAGACTACGTACTAGTTTCATCTACCAAATTTCAGTCACAATGGTAGTACGCATTTCAGGCACTTCCCAACGGTACCAGACCCTGAACGATATGATTACATCGTCGACCAGGGCGAGATTCAGACTCAGGTCTTATAGTCGAAACACTAGCGTTTTAATTATTCAGCCACACCTTCATAGACTCTATACTTATACTATACATATTTGTCATTGAATTTATACAGGTATGCGCCTCTCTGAATTTGGGATTAACTCCTATCATCACAATTGATGTTATATTCGCCATTCTAACTACTACGAGTTCCTTTCGTTTTGTCTCTTTTCCTCACAGCATTCAAATGACTCCATAAGTAAAAAAAAAAAAAAAAAAAAAGTGCGTCGGGGTGTAAGATTTTTGGGCAACTACTCCACGGCGAGTAGGCACGGTGGAGTAATGGATAGCGGCTTAGATTGAGGAATCGGAGAGCCGAATACGAATTCCAGTCGAATCCATTACATTCACTTACGTACTAATACCCTTGGGAAAGGTATGAATCCTCTTCTCTCTCCATCTATGGGTAAATAGCAGGACAGACTGGGTTCTATGGCAACTGGTCTAGGAGAAGGACAAATCTGAATTCAAACCCGGAGTGGAGCCCCTAAGGCGGATGGACGGCACTTTGTGCTACCTTCCGGCAACTCCTGCAGCCGCGCTGGTACCAAACTGTATTGGTTTATCCTCTCCTTTGGACTCTGCTATCAAGGCCAAGAGGGGAAACTAGACGTCTGGGTAGCCCTAGTTCTCCATATATCCCGCCCATTGGTGATGGACGATTTTTTTATGGTGAATGTGAAAATTGTAAGGAGTGAAAGGGTCGTGAATCGGATTTGCTAGGTATAAGATAGCGATGACCAGCCTCAACCCTCTCCTTTTTGGGGCCACGTGCCACAATTGTATTTTAATATACAATAAATATACAGATTTGAGGTTGGTGGATGAACACGCGTTTTTGCTGGTGAGAAGTGAAGGTTAGATTTGTGACCCCATTTTATCGTTTCTACGTTGCCTGTTGGACTGTTACGACGGACTATCGTTTGAACTGTGATTTGGCTACAAGTGTTATAGCCAAATCTATTGCAGACGTTTATTGCTACTAGAAGTTGACAGTCACAAGTCATCGCCTAATAGACAGACAAGAAGATTTCATCTTGGTTGGCAATGCATCTAGAGAGATTATTTCTTGATGAAAACACCCATCCTGTGGCAGTATGGTTACTCGACCTGAAAAAAGAATCATGATTAAAATTCTTTTAAAAAAAAATGTCTCGTGATTTCACTGTCTGTCGCAGTGTGTTGGAGCGGGGGGCAACATTTTCATATTCTGTGTTTAAGGTGACAGTTTGATCGAAAAGAGTTGAGTTTCCCTCTGGACGGAGACTTTTGCACCATCTCGTACAATAATAAAAAAAAATGGTTAGAAAATAAACATTTTCCTGTTACATTTCCAAACAGACACTCTTTTCAGTGTTGAACTTTGAACTCTGTTTCAGTCGAAATCTATCATCTGAACTTTCATTGAAGTAAGTAAACTGTGGTATCTGGTGCATATTTGAACTCGAAAGAGTAAATCGCTTTTAAATCAAATAATAACAACTCGTGGTTATTTTAATTATTGTTTTTAACAAAAAAAAGATACCAACTTTCTCGTTGCTAACCTTTGTACCCTGTAAGGGAAATGTTAGAAATGTCTCTGAAGATTTTTTTTGTTTTTAATCATTTCACCCCAAGCACGGCAATAAAGCCACAAAGACACAAGTGTGTGCGTGTGTGTGTGTGTGGGGGGGGGGTTACTGAGTGTGAAAGAATAGGAGAAAAAGAAAAAAAAATTATTAAGGAGAGGGAACAAAAACAGGAATTAAATTATTCGTTTTTACGGTTTAGCAACCCATTGCAGGTTACTTAAAGCCATAAATACTTTTAAATTATAAGATTTTTTTTTTTAGATAGTGATGATTTAGTGATACAAGTTTTACTAATTAACCCATAGCTGAGGGGAGAAGATGTGGATTCATAGCTTTCCCAAAGGTATTTGAGCAGAAGTGAATACAACGAACCCAACTGGAATTTGAACTCTGATTAACAATTCTCAGGCATTATACTTTTCACCACCCACACATGGAGACTGGAGGTAAACGCAGGTCAGATTTTTCAAGACAGGAAAAACCTGCGCCTTCCTTTGAAAGCGAAACCATCGTATGAGCCAGAGTGGTTTAGACCCGGCTACAGAGAGCATCAAACGGTTGTTTCTCATACTAAACGGAACGCATTTTTGAACCCCGCTGAAGAGCAAACACATTTTTTAAGTCTCTAGAACGCACTGTTAAAAAAAACAGGGCGTCTACTAAAACATGGGTATCCATAAAATAACGTTTGGAGTAGTGTCAGATAACAATATCCATATATATATATATATATATATATATATATATATATATATAATAAATTAACTGATTTAAAATATGGTTTCTTCGCTACACAGGAATTAACATGTTTCAAAAATGGAAGCTAAAAATTTTAAGTTTAATTATGTAATTAAATTAAAAGCATTAGTTCTGTTTCATCTTCAAGCGAATTTTTTTTCCAAAATTAGATTGAAGATTGAACTAATGCTTTTAATTTAATTATATAATTAAATTTTAAATTTTTCTTTTCTGCTTTTGAAACATGGTAATTCCTGTGTAGCGATGGAAACATATTTTAAATCAGTTAATTTATTATATTCATGCTCTGTCAATTCACATTGAGCACTGTTTTGTAAAAATAAAAAATATCAATAAGAACAGCGGATTATATATCTTACAGTTCTTTCTTTTTATTACAATACATATATATATATATATATATATATATATATATATATATATATATATATATATTATATATATATGTATGTATATATATATATATATATATATATATATATTAATTAATTAATTAAAGAATATCAAACGCTTAAAATCCCATAGGTAATAATTTTTATGACATTTTATTTTATTACCTATGTGATTCTAAATGTTTGATATTCTTTAATTAATAATAATTTTGCTCTGTCTTTTGACATAGAGCACTCCCTGGATCTCTATCCTCCTGGAAATTCCATACAGATTATATTATATATATATATATATATATATATATATATATATATATATATATATATATATAGCACACGGAAGTACTTGTAGTAATAAAACAGTGCTCGATGTCAAATTACAGAGCTAAATCTGATATTAATAATAAATATACATTTTGGTCGTAGCCGTTTGATACAACTCTGTGTTTCATGCACGTGGCAATAGTCAGGCACAACATGCATGAAACTCAAAGTTTCACCAAACATTAAAAACAAATATATGTATTTATTAGTAGTCTCTGTTATTTTACAATTTACATCGAGCACGGTTTTATCACGACCAGCTATTCTATATTTGTATTAAGATAGATAGATAGATAGATAGATAGATAGATAGATAGATAGATAATGAACAGACTGAGATAGATAGATAGATAGATAGATAGATAGATAGATAGATAGATAGATAGATAGATAGATAGATATGAAGAGACTGAGATAGATAGATAGATAGATAGATAGATAGATAGATAGATAGATAGATAGATAGATAGATATTTTTAGCAAATTTTATTTTGTGCATTCCAGCCATACAGCGATGTAAATTCCAGTCATTTGTACAGTTTCCTGTGGGTAGCCGTTCCCACCCAGTCATATCTATTTTGTCCTTTTATTTTTTCTGAAGCAATTTTTTTTGCATCATTCATTCTGTCGATCTCATCTCCACATTTCGCTGTATTCTATTTTATTTATTTCTTGCAGCAATTGTTGTTGTTATTTTATTTTCGATTGATTTCTGATGTGTACTCATTTCTTTCCGGGTCCCGTCCAGGGACCTGACGTTAGAAATGGTATCATGACATTTTCCACAGGGAGAAAAAAAAATTACATAGACAAAGCCCTTCGTAAGGTGTGGGCTGTATTCATGAGAATTTTTTTTTTGTATTTCTTTAAGGCATGGGCTTCCAGGGATCCCCTCAATTAGTCTACTGGAATCTTTTCCAAACAATCCGAGGGCTCCAACTACAACGGGGATTGTTGATGTTCCATGTCCCATATTATTATTATTACTATTATTATTATTATTATTATTATTATTATTATTAAATACTTGTTTCTTTCTTTCAATTCATATAAATAATAATAACTAAACTCTCTTCTATCCATGCCACTCATAATGGTGATCATTAGTGAATCAAAATACGTTGCTGAGTCAGTAAGGCAAGTTAGAGAAAGAGTGAACACACAAGAAGAGAAGAAAGTGAGAAAGAGAGAGAGAAAGAGAGAGAGAAAGAGAGAGAAAGAGAGGAGTTAAATGCTCAGAGGTCATGCAACCAGGCCGTGGGTCTCTCACTGGTATATATATTGGATGCTATCAATTGACTTTTCAGTAGTGAAATGTTTGTTGCAGTGCGTAGTCATTGCTTATCTGTTTAGAGCGGCTTCGCTTAAATTGTTTTAAAAGTTCGTTTTTCACAGTGCACTGTTTATCGAGCCGTTTATGTTTCTTTCTTTTAAATCATTAACGACTGTCTTCCTGCCATTATGTACAAAAAAATGCCTTCCTTCTGTAATAATCGAATAATCACTTGAAAAACTGAAACGGATTTATATTTACACGTGACTCGAAAACAATTTTTACTCTTTCTTTTCTTCCGTATTTTCCAGTCTTAAGTTTAAAGGCTAGTTTTCGGGGGCGATATTAGATAAGAATTGGTATTTCCTTGTCAGCTTTAGTGTGATTTATTTATTTACCTACATTTCGAGATAAAAAAAAATAAATCGTAATAGATTAAAAAAAAGAAAAAAGAAATCTGTTAATAATTCATTAGAATGGCTCTTTCATGCGGTGGCTACACGTTGTATCATCTTCTTATTTTCATATTAACATTTTTTAGGTAAGTACTCAAAATACCTATTTTTTTTTCTTTTATTATTTGTATTCTTCTAAAAACCTTTTCAATCTTTCTTACATTTCTTTTCTTGTGTAAAAATATGAAGAAAAAATGTCGAGGTCAGTGCTTTCACTTTTTATTTTATTTTAAAACTTTACTTCAATATTTCTAAATATTTTCTTTGTATCATCTTCTTACATGATTTTTTTTTTGTATTTTTAATTCTTTTTCTAATATTTATTTATTTTTTTTACATGTTTTTTTTTATCCGATCAAATGAAAATTTACCAAATTTACCAAGATGTGTCATTATCTGCTAAACCTTGTTGATATTTTGAAGCCATGCAATGTTTTCATTTTTCAAGAATTTGAGGATCAAATAACTTCTTATTGTGACCCTTAAAATAAATCTTCGATTATTATTTTTAAAATCGATCCTTTTTAAAATGTTCGACTGAAACGAACAAATTGCCTCCCTGTTAAAAAGTACGGAAGCTGATCAAGACCATAATTGTGTAAACCTCACAGATGTTTAATTCGTGAGATTGAAAGATAATTTCTGATTTTCCTTTGCTTGCATTTAATTTTTTTGTTTCTAACTTATATTTGAACGTCGAGTGTAAATTTTACAGTGATGTGTCGAATTGATTGTCCTTTGCTGCTTCAAACTGTTCATAATGTTAAATTTAAAATTAAGATTTTTAAATTTTAATTAATTTTACTCATTTTATAGTTTTAATTTCTGTAATTAAATTGAATTCTACAATCAAGTCCCCTGATGAGTGCATACACCACACAATATCCACGAAACTCTTGCTAATTTATGGGGTTGTTTATGTCTTAACTTTTTTTGTGTTCTTTATTTTCCGGCACTTTGTGTCTCTCGTATGAAAACGTCATCTTGTTTTCATTTGATCCCGTACTTTTTTTTACCAAGACTCATACTTAGAGAATGCGTTTGTCAATTTTTTTAAGTTTTATTTTAATTAAATTGTAATTTCACATTATTTATTTATTTTTTAGAATATATCTAAAAATGACTTCGATTAATGTTTACAATTCCAGCAAGTTGATAGTTTTTTTTTATTTTTATGAGTTGAAATTGTCATATAAAAAAAAAATAATTGAAGTTTTATTCGTACTAACTAGAGTTACTCAAAAGTTACTAAGTATCTTTATTCTTATTTTTATTTTATCACATTTTTTTGCCAATGTATTCTTCGCTTGTGATTAAATAAAGACAAGGAAGGTTATTCTAATGAATATGAATGTATTGTAGTTTGAATAATAATTGGGCCTCAGATTTAGTGCTGTTACGACAAAAAGTTAACAACACTAAAAACATTTAGTAGACTAAGTTTTAGTTAAAATAATGACGGCAGCACATACGTGTCAGGAAACTCAATTCTATAGTTTTTTTTCTCTTTATGTAACTGAAAGGAAAAAGAGAGATCCGAGTTAGTTTCTTTTTTAATTTTTTTTTTTCCAGTGATGTAAAAAAAGAAAATTCTCTAGGATTCTTAAAATGAAAAAAAAAAAAAAATAATAGAAATTAAAATCTAAACAAGAATAAAAATCGGTACAATTTGCTTCAGTACAATTGAACTTTTTTTTTCTTTTTTTTTTTTAAATACAAAGGTTCACCCTGTACAAGGCTCAGGAGCTACTCTAGAGGGTTACGTTAGGAGGCATTTTGTACAAATAGAAGGGGAAGATAATGGTTAACAATTGAACAGTTTAACATTAGGTGTTTTTTTTTTTTTTTTTTTTTAAAGAAGAAAGTTAACTTTCAAATTAGGGTTAGGTGTTTTTTTTTTTTTTTCTTTTGTTATTCTTTTATTTGTCGATGTTTACATATATTTGAAAGTTAACTTTATTCTTACATTAAGTACAAAAAAAATTGCTTTACGGAAACGCGTACTAATTTCTGAAAGAAAATAGCTCGGGTGTTAAAATGAAAATTTACCACATCTTCTTGAGAGTCAGTTCTACGGAGCAGTGGTTCTCGAGAGGGAGCTGTTCAAGTGGAACTTCTCAACAGTGGAATACAGAGAGAATGTGGGTGGTTTGCTACAAGTGGATGGTGGATCCTAGCCATGAAGGTTTAGTCTGGGGAACCAAGGAAGAATTCATTTGGTTTTTGTTTTTTTTTGTTTTTTGTTTTTTTTTTTTTTTTTTACATACTTAATTATGCTTCAATAATTTATCACAACTTAATAGAATTTTAATTTCTGAATTTTCTTTTTCAATGAAAGCAATATTTAATTCAGTAAAATTAGTGGAGATAAATATGTATGCAGTGACTATATTTCACAGCTCAACAGTGTACCATGGCACAGCAGTTGAGGATCACTGCCCTAGAGGTTTCATGTGATATTTTGAGTCCAATCAGTAAATATTTCTCATATTTTTTATTTGCATTCATTTTCTGGGTTGCTCTCACAACTAGAAGGAAAAGAAAATCCTCTTTACATATACAGGATGCCATGGATAAATTGTTGTTTAAATAATGCCAAAATTGAAACTAACACTGACATTTCATTTTAACAGATATATTTACCAAAATTACAGAAAAATATCTTGAAATACTAAAGAGTAAATTTATTCAATAAAATCACCATTGGCTTCAACCACAGCCTCCAGATGATTTCAGAATCTCCTGCAACTCTTCTGGAAGGTCACCTTATTTAAGATTGTGAATGCTTCCATAATCCTTGCCTTCAGTTCATCTTTGGTGTTATAAGAAATTTTGATAGTCTCTCACTCAGCTGCACCCCACACATAATCAAGGAGGGCTGCAGTCTGGGGAGTTAGGTGGTCAGATGTAAGGGATGATGTGGTCGCAAAAATTGTCTGACAGCCATGACTGGGTTCTCCTGCTTGTATGTCATGGTGCAGAGTCCTGTTGCCAGACATAGGTTCTTACAGCAGCCACCCTTAGCCACTCCAACTCTTTCCGATTCCTCTGTACTGTCCTCAGATTGACACCCAAATACTCTGAAATGTTTGTATTGGCGCTTCCAATGCAAATGCCAAGTAGGCTGTTTCCAAATTTCTGGTGGAGTGAATTGCATAATGGTGCTCTATTCCTCACAGACATGCCCAACTGGCCCTGCTATACTGTGCAATTGACAAAATCAAAAACAATGCACATGTGCAAAATTAAAAATGTAAAATACTGGCCAGTATTGTTCTTGTGACCATTTAGCCATCGCAACCTGTATTCTTGAAAAAGACTAGAATGGATTTTCCAAAATTTTGTCATAACAACCACAAAGATTAATAATTATTAAAATAACTTTTCTCAGAATTTGAGATGATACCTTAAAAAAAAAAATAGGTTATAAAATAGTTTATTGTCAGAATTGAATGCTTTCAATTTATTTTTTATCTTACTTATTCAGAAATAATTACTTTTTGTTTATTGTTTGTTTTTTCTCTCAATGATTAGTTTCCCATTTAGAACTACAAGATTTTGAATACAAGTATTGAAGTCAACTGTTGTGAAATTTTCAATTTCCTTTTTTTTCTTTCCATTAACATTAATTAATACCAAGTTAGCTCATGTTCTGTTAAAATCCCTGTGTTCATCTTGTCTGGTTTTCACACATCCGCATGTCAAGAGAACCTCCTTGACTGCGAAAAACACTGGCGTTATATATCTCTCCCAGTCCTGGACCCACACTAACCATTGGCTAATACCTGGCCAGTATTGTTCTTGTGCAAATAGTCAGTGCCACCTTCCCTCAAGAGCCCATTGTGGAAGAGGATGCAACTCCGGGTGCTTACAGCACCACATCCAAACAACTCAGTTTTTTATCAGGCCGATCTGATTCTCTGTTACAAGACCCCCTCCCAGTTACACAAGTAGAAAAATTTAGAAATTGATAAAATAGGCTTTCAGAAGTAACATCTTGTGGCGAAACTTCCTACAGTTGTGCTTTTTCCGAGTTGAAGAATATATAGAACTGCATTAAAATCGGATTTCTTCACAACAGGATTGTATAACAAAGGAGATATCCCACCTGTTTGTTAATGAAATATTGCTCTATACAAATGGTAGACAGGTAGTGAATTAGACATCATTTGAAAGGTCAGCATTACTAAATTTTGAATTGACTTTAAATTTGTAACCCAGCTGATTTTAAAAGTAGCAAAAAATATGGAAGAAGCATGAAGCTTGAGAAATTACTTTCAACTTTTTTTTTTTTTTTTTTTTTTTTTTTTAATTAGACTTTGCAACTATATATATATATATATATAAGTTGGCTTAATTAACTGGTGTTTTCTGAATAAAGTTTACCCAACAGCAAATTAATACTTGTTGAAATCTATTACTTACTTGTTTTTTTTTTTTTTTTAAAACTTGAGCAAATCAATTTTATAATAATTCTTTACTCACAGTTTTAATTAGATTTTTATTTATATCAGTTTGACATGCAAGAGTAGATTTTGCTTCCTACTGAAAGCCGTGTATGTATGCAGAAGTTGTATATTTTCTGTTTTCTGCCTATCTCTGCTTCAAATCATGTGACTGAGAAGCCGTTCCCAGGAAATGCCAACTGATGCAATCAGTTTGAGTTAGTGATACATTCTGACGTTTACAGCAAAGAACAAAATGAGAAGTTTCTGGATCAGCCACTATAAGACAAGAACATATTGTATGGAGATACGCTGACTGACATTACAATGACCATGTGTTACATTCTTCCATTACAAGATAGCAAATCAATTGTCAATATTAATTCTGATAAGTTATTCAGTCTGATGAATACACACTATCACCTATTTATGTAAATAGGTAAAATATATTTATATATCTGATATGTCTACACCTGTTAGCTATGGCTGTGCAATTTCTTTTTACTGTTACTTCTGATAATTTAGTTATGAGACCGTACGGGGTTTCTCTAAATAATCCTTCACCTAACTTTTTTTCTCCTCCCTATCAACCTGCATGCTACAACTCATGCTATTAAGATATTTTGTCAAAGTATGTGACA